ATCATCCTAAGAATATTATTCAATTCACTTTACGTCACGTCTTGATACTAACTATTACACGTTAGTCAAGCTTGTAACAAGCGTACTATCGCTTAAATAAAACTCCTTCAAAACACACACTCAACTACTATCTTCCTATCTATCTCCACGCTCTTCACTACTATTAACGTATCATGGCTACCCCAGATCCGCCTGCAGAGTTAGCCACAATGCATCAGAAGATAGATAATCGCCCTCGTCCTCGTTCTCCAATCGTGTAATACAAACAAAAAATTAATACATGTCTTAAATAGTATTTAGCAACGACTAGCTACAAAAATATTACAATCAACCACTTGTTGGTTTTGTATAGGCAGCATTAGAGTTTAGGTCATCATCCCAGCTTTGATATAGAAATTTTGTTTCTTATTCGACCAATCCACGATTAGGATATTTGGTATATTATTTTAAATTCTGCATTTTACGGCTACAATTAAAGCGTGTGCTTACAAGTAATTACATAATTTCATTACCAGCAAATATATTATCATAATGTAATAGGAGATGCAGATCGAAAGGCAAAAATGCATCAAATCGATTGTTAATATTTGATAAGATGCATAAGCTGTTTATTTCCACCGAATAAAGCAGTAGACAGTTACTAGCTTTTATTGCTCTCCATAATTGTACAGAAATAAACTATTTCGTGTTCACTAGCATTAACCAATCAATAGTTATAATTAATCCATAACTTGTACTTAAGAAATACAATGGCATCTATGTGAAGGAATAAACACGCATGAAAAACCGATTGAGCAGTCTTCAAATTGCGATAAAATTTTTTGACTGGGATCGGTATACACAGTTATACAAATATTGGATGGGTAAAACTAATTATTATACAATCATCTAGCACTGCAGAGCAAATAATAAAAACTTACTTGCAATAGGTTTAATTTTGACGTTACAATTCTTTGAAAACCGCCACGATTGAGTAATTTCTTACCTTCACAATGTAGAAGTACATTTTAAGAACATTGCTGTATTACAAAGACTGACAATTTCATCTATGTATATCTAAATATCAATAAAGATATTACACTGGCCTTCTATATCAGCCATCAGGTTTTTATACTTGAAAAAAATTATGTAAACAAGCACTAGGTATAGATACGGGTACAATAATGCCTTGCTGTTAGGTATTAATCTAATTTCAGTTTTATTCATATTAATAAATTTACATTTTATAATATCTTTGTAGTGATGCACTGATATTCGATTATACGGATCGCTATATTTGATGTAGTTAGGTTACTTTGAACAGATATTACCGTGCAGCTAATATCAGATGATTGTTAACTACTAGTATATTAGAAATTGTTGATGATGACTTATAGTAGCTAGTTGACTAATTATGGTACAAGATGTATGTAGCTAGAAACACTGTAGTTGTTAAGATGCCCTTCGGAGAAAGGGGCTAGACGTTACTAGAAGAGTAGCGGCATCTTAAGTAATAGCAGTAAAACTACAGTTGTAAGGTTATCTTATTTCTGTTCTTCTGTAATGTTATAATTGACTAGGTCCGAAGGAAAAAGAATAAGAAGAAATAATGCGCGACTGATGGAATGTTAATGTTTTATGATTTCAACGTGGCAAGACGAAAAGTTTGCATAGATCTTGACTTCCGATTTATATTCCAACTTGATTCAAGCAAATTTACTATAAACATACGATGAAATGTTATCTATTTCTAATCTTTAGGCCATTTTGATCAATCAATCAATGCTGTTATATGAGCCGACAACACTCGTATGATTTTCACTAAGTATTTCTAGAGTAGTATTGAGTGATTTGTTAGAAATTGAGAGAGCTTCATCATACTTGCTTTGATTATAATAGACACCGCCAATGTTGTTATACTCGTATGAATCGGTAACACAAGGATGATTGTCTCCAAGTGTAGTCAGTGTAGTATTAAGTGATTTGCTAAGTAGCATTGGATTAAAAAATAAAATAATACTTTCTATATTAACAGTAAATTAAACTACCAATAATTGAAGCTTTAACAAAATAAATTACGGGGAAAACACTACTTTATTATAACTTTAACAACAATCTTAGCAAAACTTCTATGAATAACAAAATACGAGCAGAACTACTTCCTCAACCAACCAAACTATCAATTATTGAGGTAAATCAAGATCATCCTAGACTTTTCTTGTCTTCTCTAACTTCAACTGCTCTCAATTACCGTACTACGCCACCTTTTTATATGCTACGAAGAGCAGTTGGTGTTAGACTATTCAACTATGATTCTACAGAACTCCAAATTAAAATAGCAATCAAACACACATGATAAGATAAATTACACCCTAGATTCCCGTTGTAGTGTATTTAGAATATACTGTAACTATATTCTACTCTTAAATATGTCTATAGACATGTTGTATTGCTCTTATATTTAGACAGATCTACAGTCCTCTTACTCTACATTCATATATAGACTACTGTATTTAGTTATTACGGTACTCGCTGTTTTCTACAATCATCTGCTATTTTGTAACCTGTTATGGTATATGTTGTATCTAATTCCACAATCCTATTCTCTGCATGTGCTTTATCTTTAAAACTATAAATACCGGCGATTTCTACCTCAGAGTTCATTAGCCTCTCAGTTGGTCTTCTAGTTAGTCTCACAGTCTAATACTTTTACTCGTTACTCACGACAGCTTGCACGCTGATCTACCGTAACTACCTCACTGTACTTCACATTACTAACCTACAATAAAAGCATAACTTTTATAAACCCTTTGTTGTAATAATTGTAAATGGCGACTAAATCTCAATCCTCTGAGATATCGAACCCTCCATCACACCCGCAAACTACTAAATTAATACTAAGTATAATTTAGCTTAAAACTGTACATTTCTACAGTATACACTAAGAAAAAATAATAATCCCAGATCAAATGTTTTGGGTACATACAGTATGAAATTACCAAGTAACATCAACTTCTACTGTAATTAATGATCAAAATTTAGCACACATATATTCTATTAGCTAAATACATCGCTTGAATTACAAGATCATAATATCTGATTTTTAACAAAAATTATGCAACGGATTATCTTAACTTCTAACCCGAATAAATCAGTCGGGTTTACAATATACTAAGATACTAAGTAAAAGCTACCATTATAATTAACCAAATAAGTTATATTATTTTTAAAGCTAGAATACTTATCACGATACAAAAACTAAGCTAGAATAATTACAATACAAGAAGTTCAAGGAAAATTATAAAAATTAGTCTTCATTGCAGTTATACATTGGTAGAACATCATCATACTTGCCTTGATTATTATCGATATCACTAATGTTGCTATATGACATACCAATATTCGCATAATTATCACCAAGTGTTTCTAGTGTAATCTTGAGTGATTTGATATACATTGATAGAGCGTCGTCATGTTTGCCTTGATTTGAATTTGCCGTAATTATGTAATTACATTTACCAATTTTATATACATAGCAATAAGAGTTCCATATTTTTCAGCAAGTCTTCAAATATAATGTCCACTTTTTAAGTGAGAGTCTCACTCAGCTTTCTCACACAAAGGGAACTAAGCGTCTTATACAATTCATGCCATTGCCTTATTTACTTCTTGATCGCTACTTTATTATTACCTGATTTGTTTGCTAGCTAATTTTCTTATTTCAATTATTTAAAAAACGAACTTTCTACATTTACTTATATAAGGCTACTTACTCCACGAACATAAGCGACAAAAAAGGAAAATTGTAGTGGTAAAAACCGGTAGGAGTGTTAAACATATATCATCGATTGAGAGATGCTACCCAATTTTGATCGTAGTTTTATGTAGGTAGCGTTGGAATAGGAAAATAAGTAGAATTAAAGCTTCAATAAAGCTCCGCCATTACTCTTTAATATCTAGTCGTATATAGCTAAAAAAAATCATTGTTTCCTATCTTTATATAAGCTTTATGAACTGCAGCTTTCTCAATATAAAAATAGAAAAAAATTTTTTAGTACATTATCAAATAAAGCCCTCAAAATAAAGTTTATTCCCAATGCGAATATTCAAAGACTTTCAAACATGGATTGATAGCTAGGAAGTGAGCTAACAGCTTTATCAACTCTAGCACAAATATTACACGTTTACTGAATGATCCATCCTAAATTTTGCTATTCATGTGCTTATATTACCATATTACCACGTTGTAATTAATTATTGAAACAGCCTGCTAAATACTGCCCCATTATTATTACTGAATAGCTAAAGTTAGGCGGGAAGTAAAGGAAAATTCATAACCCTGTTATAGTAAAAGCATCATTTTAAGTATCACTTTATTTTTTTAACATTAATAGAATGGCTGCAAGGTACGTTGTTATGTCACAAACCAGCTTCGTGACAAGGATAACGTAAAACAAATCTCTAAATTACTATAGTCTTCCGGAATTCAGTATCCCTTAACTACCTCACAAGGATTTAGACGCCTTTGATTCTACGTTAAACTCAACTAGACAATTGAGAACTACTTTATTCAAGTATCTGACGGGCTTATATACCCTTCTACAGCAGCTAACATTCACGAGTTATCTTATAAAAATACTTAGGTGAGAACATCTACTAACTAATTTTTCTCAGTCGGACTACAATATGTCCATTCACAGAATCATTTCAGTACACATTACAGCACAGCATTAAATTTACTGTAACACATTTATAATTAGAGTAATTCCTACTCTAAGTAGCTAGTTGTAATATATTATCACTATATTATATTAATCAAATTTAGATGGCTATTTCTTCACGGTAGTTCATACCGTGACATGTTAGTACCACGCATACAATATTTTTTGTAATTCTAGGTCAGTTTACACAAAAATTTTTACGTATCATCTCATATGTACGGTTAAAACTATAGATTGCTTTAGTGAACTTTTGCTCTATAGTAGATTTACAGAATGTACATCAGAATGCCAATTCCTGATTTACGATGATTCTGCAGATAGATTCTTTGCTTTCTTTAACAATTTTTTTCCAAAGCTTTGAACACCTCGAACTGAACTATTTTTGAGTAGTTGGCAAAACACTGGTAAATCATTTCCATGGCGATTTTTAAATAAAATATCGTATAATTTATGTGCCTTGTCTTCCTCGTGAATTCTACTATTTATCATTTCCACTTCTCTCGAGCTTAAAACGTGCTTTAATTTTAAAGGAACTAATACTTCATCAACAGGAACAATTCGAATAAATTCCTCGCCATAGACGGTTAATGCTTGTTGCGCCTGCGACGTCGATATTAATTCTTCTTCTTCTTTCAGACCTAGGTCAGCATAGCGTTAATGAAGAAAATAAAATAAAATACTGATATAATCTAACACTTATTCTATAAAATGCTTGCAAATATATAATAGGCAGCATGGCTAGGATAACAGACTAAAGTACTATCGAGAAAGGTGTTTACATTTATAAGCGCTAGCAATCTAAAATGTCGGAAATGAATACATTAATCTCATCGATTGAGAATTTATAGTTATTATTTCTGTCATTCTAAAAGTACGATAGATTTTCACAGACTAATATTATGATAACATTTGAGGTAATATCATTTAGAAAATTATGACTCTTTTTACTCACCTGATGAACTTGCTAATTCTTCCGTCTCATTAAGCATCCAATCATGTACTGATTTTGATCTAAAATATTTATTACATTGACTAGAAAGGATTATATCTAGACTGTGGGTTAAATAACAAATTATTTCTGTCATTTTATCGCATTTAACACATTTGACAAAGAATTGACTTTGAGCTGACTTGAACTTTGGCATTCTCTCATAAACTGTCTCGTTTAAATTATTTTTAATATCCTGCTTGATATTAGATCGATCTTCTATTTTCTTGTTATCTTGGTCAAACCCTACGGCCTTAGGATAAGGTATATATATATCGGAAGACTATATTTAGAAAGAAAAACAAGATACGGCGTTAATGAAGACTGCACAAGTGCTATCGAATCATCGAGACTTATTGTATGAATACTTCTGGATAAAAAGATCAATACATCTTCAGTTTCACATTTTAAGAAATTATACAGAAGATAGACCACACGATGCAGTAGCATTAAATATAAATCTTTAAATTTAATTTATTTATACATCTGGTATTTGTCATGCTATATTAATACACAGTGTAAGATAACATCCG